TCAGTATTAGTAACAAATAATACAAGGCTACAACTCTGGTCTATCTCACAAAACATATAATTTCCTAAATAAGAGGTCCAACACGGTTGTAACTGTATTTTCTTTAATTTTCTTTGATCCCGTGCTTTCAGAGCGTTAAGGTAGGAATTATCACTTCTAACCCTCGTATAGGAATAATTGTACCTTTTGGTAACACCCCGTAACGTAAGTGGAGTACAAGCGTGCAGTTGATAACTTGGGTGGCTACAATGCTCCTTGTTCTATCGTGCGTATGGAAAGAACTAAGAAAGAGATGCCTGATAAGATAATTTCCCTTTGATAAGAGTACACTTGTACCTTTCGTCACATAGTTCAGTGATTAGACAGCCCAAGTCATGTGTTTTTCTGTTTTTCATACTGATTGAACACTGTCTTTTTTATTCCATTATTTTAACTTTCAGATCCGAGATTAAGTGGCACCATTATGATATAGGAAAATAATTTGTTGATTACCTCAGCACACGTGTTGCTCTGTGATTGCATGCTTACATTATGAACCATGTACATTTGGCTATGCACGATTACACTTTCCCAACATCCCAAAATGGAGGCTTGTAAGGTACATTAGAGAAAGAATTATAAGAGCACAATTTTTATTACATTCTTGTTACCCTTTCAAAGTCAATTATTTTGCAAACAGTTACTAGCAAGAATAGGAAATTAAATGAAAACGCATAATTAGATTTAAACCTTATTTTACAAAACAAAATCTTACCCAATTAAAACACATACCCTCTAGTAAATATTGTCAGAGAAGAATTTGGCCTTTTGTGGCACCTTATGAACAATAACTTATCTACATTTTTACAATCATATCACAAACCAAATGCTCAGTAAGTCTATTGTGTTTACTTTCACTTACTTTTTAACGGAATCGAAAAGTTACTTTCGGAAAGCGCTCTCTCTCTCTCTCTCTCTCTCTCTCTCTCTCTCTCTCTCTCTCTCTCTCTCTCTCTCTCTCTCTCTCTCTCTCTCTCTGTAACATTTACTCAAAATTATCATTCAAAATATTTATGTCATGATTATGAACGTTTTTCCAATCATGCTTGAAGAAAAATATAAGTTTAAAAGATGGCTTTGAAAATGACTTTAAGCCCCTTGTTTTGGCTTCTAACTGTTACATGATTTCATCGGTTAATAGTAGGAACAGTTTTACTACAGAAAGAGAAGTTCATTGAGAATAATACGATTCAAGAATTACAATTATACAAGACTTGGTAGACGCATCAACTTTGCAAAAATTTATTGTATTAAACACTTGGAAATATACAATGGCTAATCAGTGTCATAAATTATTGGATGCTATTTATATCACTGATCCTATCTTTTAATCTTTCGGTGCAATGCAATTTGCAATTTTAAAATTCCAATCAACGGAGCGACCATCACTTAATAGAAATGTAATAATATATTTTTTAAAATCCAGCCAACACCACCCTTTAAATGCCATTTTATAACGCGTTATGATAAATCCGTATCCATCACACCTTCTATAGTATATTTTTTCAGATTTACCTGAATTAAGGGGTTAAGAAATTATAGGGTAATTTTCTTCCGTGATAAAGATCGTAACATCAGTCTCCCGATCACTATGGGCATGACCTTCAGTGTCCTTTTCCTTGTGATATGCATCTGTAAAGCTCAAGATCAATGGTACATTCTAACAACAGCTGCAGGCATCAAACAATATCTGTAGTTAATTAGATATCGAGTCAGGTATACCACTGGTCTCAATAAAACAATTTTTTCAATGCTATCAGTTTAGTTCAGTTTAAAAATGTAAATTACATACACAAGGGTTTGCTATCTGTTACTTTTTTCTTTGTGCATGAATGTATGAGCACACGGTCCAATACCTGCTTTGTACATTAGGTATGAAGCACATGACGAATAGATTCAATTTGTCTAAAATTATTCTTAAATGCTTACTGTTCACAGCTCTTAAGATATATTTTCCGAGGTACCTTGAAAGTAAATCTTGGACAAAGTTCTTAGTATTACAAAATATAAATAAACTCTTACTGTACAATAACTTGTGATACTTTTTGAAATGGTATACTGTTTGAAATGATCGTGATTCTTGTTGACAGGGCATGTTCCTTGAAATGAGTCTGAATTACCACCAAATTCTTAACAAACGTCGCCTCGGGTATCCCAGTTGTTTATTTCTCTCATATTCTAAGCAGTCAGTTGTACTAGAATGGTCCCCGTTTGCTATTTATCACAGGTTCTAAGCAGTCACTTGTATTTAGAAATGTTCCCGAATTTTTTTTCTAACATATTCTAAAACAGTCAGCTGTAATAGAAATGTCTCCGGTTTAGATTTCGAACATATTCTAAGCAGTCAGTTGTACAAGTAAGGAAGGTCTATAGTAAGCGTCCACTCGATGATACCAAGTTTTTTTTAAACGCATTAGGGATTTATCCTGTTATTTAGGTCATTGTTAAACATTTTAAGAAACTTGTCAAAAGAAAGATAATTGGTATATATATATATATATATATATATATATATATATATATATATATATATATATATATATATATATATATATATATATATATATATATATATATATATATATATATATATATATATATATATAGCTTGAATACCATGCGGCTACTTACCTACCTGCCACCTATTTACCTGACCGTCTCTTTGCCTACCTTGTGTAAAATATCATATGATTTGTTTCTTTCGATGACTTTATCTATTCCGTAAATAAAAGGACACACGTATAATAAAAGTGCAATGCTGCTAATGAATGTTGTACAAGTCAGTCGGAAAAGTGTTGTTTGAATGAGAACCAAAAACAGGATAAATGTGCAAACTGTATCTCTAAACAATTTTTGGTGTCCCGTATGTGACAGTGAAAAGGTTCAACATAATGTAGTTAATTAAATACAAAAAGAATTTAAATAAAAACGGCTACGTTATCACATTTTCTTTTCAAATTTAAATATTGAAGTAAAAAAAGATTATTACATAAAATATATCTGGTCATGAAACAGTCAGACTTTGAGAAGTTTTCTCCTTTACGTAAAATCAATTATATTTACCAAAGTTAGTAAAATGTGCTTTATGCAAATATTGTTCTATTGTTCAATCTTCATTACCTAAATCTGAATCTACTCTTTGAAAAATATCTTTTACATATTCCGCAGCAGTGTTCTGGAATAAAAAACTTCAACACTCTTCGTATTTAATCTCATTATGATAGCTGTAATAATGGAGATACCTAATTTGGATACCCCTTCTACATTCCCAAATTCCAAACCTACATATATAACTTATATGATTCAATGTATGTATGTATGTATGTATGTATGTATGTATGTATGTATGTATGTATGTATGTATGTATGTATGTATGTATGTATGTATGTATGTATGTATGTATGTATGTATGTATGTATGTATGTATGTATGCATGCATGCATGCATGCATGCATGCATGCATGCATGCATGTATGTATGTATGTATGTATGTATGTATGTATGCATGCGTGTGTGTGTGTATGCATGCATGCATGCACGCACGCACGCACGTATGTATGTATGTATGTGTACTATTACACGTGTGTCCAATACTGTAGCAAATAAAATTTTGTTTGTACCTGTTCGTCACATTTTTAGTTTTAATATTTTGTTATTGAGGACTACTTGTAAGATTTGTGATTCTGAACTAAATGTGTTATCCTCAGAAAACATTATTATTATTATTATTATTATTATTATTATTATTATTATTATTATTATTATTATTATTATTATTATTATTATTATTATTTTTATAACGTCGAGTTTAAAGGAAACTGACACTACCAATGCGGTATCGTATATTTGCTAGAACTATTTTGTGCTGTGATTTTTATGTTTCAGAATGCGAAGATTAATACATAGATTTCACCACTCAGGCGTTGGATATTTGACATTGGATGAATTCTCATTCCAGAAATCTATCGTAGCGAAATGCCTATATAATAATAATAATAATAATAATAATAATAATAATAATAATAATAATAATAATAATAATAATAATAATAATAATAATAATAATAATAATAATAATAATGATGAAGATGAGTACAAAAACCGGACATCAGAAGAAACTTTGATAATTACATTTTCGTAATTGACCACGTATGAGTGAAATTATGGAGATTTTGTACGAAACTGTCTTTGCTTTTCGAGTTATGACGTTTTTTAATAGGTATATATTGTGAACATGAAATAGCGGCCCATATATATTGTAAAGCTTTACAAGTATTATAACCATTAAAAAAATATTTAACTCTTGTTGTGTTTCGGTATTGTAAACAGCACTGAATACATGTTAATTATTCTTCGAGAGGCTACTTCCTATATTCAATAATGTGTAAGAATAAATTTGTCATCGTGATAAATGATACAATAAACTGTTTGTTCGGTATATTTAGCTTTACCGTCTACATTCTTTTGCGCAGTACGCATAACAACATTCTCTTCTAGGTCAGTTTCACGATCAAAAAAGTCGTTGAAGCAGCCTTTAATGGGATTTTGCACGTAATGTCCTGCTCTGAGTGAGTTTCCACATATAATCGACGTAGTTAACGAATTTTTAATTAACCAGGTATATTCAAATAGGCTAACACTCTGTTAAGATAACAGTAATAGCTTTTTTATCCGATTAATGAACAATGCTGAGATTCACATGACTTGGTATTGAAAAAGGTGTTTGGTTTTTATAATTTTTAACGTAGCTTTAAAATTGTTTCACTCATATCGCTACGATTTCTGCAGTAAGGCAGTTTATATTGATATCTAGCACTGGGGCATCATGCCACAGACATGTAGCATGATGTCCCACCCAGTCACATTATCCTGACACCAGGCCGACCAGTCCTAACACTAACCTCTTAATGCTGAGCGTCAAGCGAGCAGCTGTTTGTGCCATTTTTGTACGTTTTTGGTATGACTCGACCGGGGATCGAACCCACGACCTCCCGCATCCGAGGCGGACGCTCTAACCACTAGGCCACCGGAGTGGTT